GCCTGGCTGGGGGGCCGCGGCTCCGATGATGCTTGAAGTGCCTATCATCCGGTATCTCCCGGCGCCGGGCGCTGCGCCCCGCTGCTCTCCCGTGAAGGGCTGGGCAGGAGGGCGACGGCCTCCGGGTTCTCCCTTTCCGATTCCGGGATGGGACCATCCTGGGTGAGGAGCTTCGGCGCCTCCAGACCTGCCGGCCGGAGCATCCCAAGTCGCGGGGCCTCCTTCCCCACCCCCGTCCACCCCCACCCACGGCAGTGGGTCGGTCTGGATTAAGGTCGCCCCCCGCGACTGCACCTGTGCGGGTCCTGGAGGAGGAAGGCGGATCGCGGGGCTCAGCTGGACACCCCCATCCACTGGCCGCGGGGAGCGGCCGGAGCGCAGCTCAGCGACAGCGGCAGCCGCGAGCTAGCGAGCGCTCCCCTCGCAGCTCCGCCGGCGCCCGGCTCCGCTCCCTCCTCCCGCCCCGGCCCCCCTCCTCCCCCACCCCCACCTCCCCCGCGCTCGTGCCCGGGCTCCGGGGGCCGCGCCCGCGCCGGGCACCCGCCCAACGGGCACGCGCAGGACCCGGACGTCATCTTCTCGTTAACATTCCTAGCCCTACTTGGTGCATGTGGCCTGTCTTTATTAATATTTATGAATTACTATTTCTCCCCCCTTTAGCATTGGTCTTTCTGCTTCCCTCATGAATATTCAGAAGCTCAAGATGTGCGCTTGCAATAACTCCCAGTGTGGATTTCTCACAGGGAGGGCCTGACACTGTAGCTTCTCCATAAAAGCATAGGCGGGTGGCCGAGTGGATGGGCAGGCGGATGCCCGCAGACACACTCAAAGACCTCCCTGGACTTTCTGGCCTCCCCCTTCTATTCTGCTGGGGGCTGGGGTGAGCAAGTGAAAGGATGCCTGCCACGCTGAACCGGGTTCAGACCTCGAGTCAAAAGTAATAAACGCTTTTACCTCCCAAAGACGCAGGGTGGGGTTGGCTTCAGGCCGAGAAAGCTGCGAACGTTTCCACTATCCATCTACAGAACTTTTTCATGGATCCCAAACTGAAACTCTGTACCAGTTAAACATTAACTCCCCATTCCTTCTTCTCTGCAGACCCTGGTAACCACCATTTTACTTTCCATCTCAATGAATTTGACTATTCTCAGTATCTCTTGTAAGTGGAATCACACAGTATTTGTCCTTTTGTGTCTGGCTTATTTTACTTAGCGTAATGCTTTCAGGGTTCATCCATGTTGCAGCGTGTGGCAGAATCCCATTTCCATTTCCATTTCTATTTTAAGCCTGAGAGATATTCTGTTGTATGTATATAACACATTCTCTCTATCCATTCTTCCTTCTGTGGACATTTGGGGTTTTTCTACCTTTTGGCTCTTGTGAATAATGATGCTGTGAACGCAGAGGTATGAATTCCAGGCAACATTTTTAAAAAAGCATTCTATGGCGTGTGCTAGAAGCTGGAGGGTGTGGGGTGGGGGGGGGGCGGGGAGGGTATTAAACTCTGCCTTCAATAGGTGCAGAGTTTAGTGTATTGATTTCCAAACTGTGCTACTTGGAAACTGTAAGGGGTTGAATAGTGTCTCCCCCCAAGTGTAATCTACCCAGAACCTCAGAATGTGACTCTTTTTGGAAACAGGATCTTTGCAGATGTAGTTAGTCAAGAAGCAGCCACACTGGATTAGGGTGGTCCTAAATCCAATAACTGATGTCCTCATAAGTAGAGAGGACACAGAGCAACAGGAAAGGAGCTACATGATGAAGGAGGCAGAGACTGGAGTGACACAACTACAAACCAAGAGACACCAAAGATTGCCTGGAACCACCAGAACCCAGAAGAGGAAAGGAAGAATTCTTCCCTAGAGCCTGCAGGGGGAGCATGGCCCTGCTGACATCTTGATGTTGGACTTCTAGTCTCCAGACCCATGAAACTATAAATTTCTCTTGTTTTAATCCATCCAATTTGTGGTTATTTATTACAGCAGCCATAGGAAACTAATATAGATTTTGGTAGTGAAACCGAGCAGGACCCTGTGGGGCTCCTGGGCACAGAAGCCTTTCCATGTCCCCCATTTCTTGTTTGTAGGGAATAGACTCCAGCCTCCATGACCTTCCCTGAGTTCCAAAGGGCAGATTCAAACAGTTGCTAATCAGGGAAGGGAGGGGATGCAGAGATAAGGGAGGAACAGCCAAGAAACAATAGTGCAGCCTTGGGACAGGTCCTGGTTCCATCTCAAGGGATACACATAACTATATCTTTAAGCTCTTTATAGAACTAAAACCCCCAAGAAATGGAAGATGTCAGTATTCTTCATTCCAGAGAAGACCACCTGAGGCCAGATTAAAGGAACCAAAGAAACTCATCAAGAGATTACCTGAGACCAGATTAAAGGAGTGCAGGCCCTGCACACACCCTGATCTTATGGGCAACCCCACACTTGAACCACTGCTATAAAACTCCTCAGCAAATCCTCCTGGGTTGAGACACACAGTTTTTCAGGGCAGGAGCTCGCTGTGTCCCTCTTTGCCTGGCAAAGCAACAAAACTATTCTTTTCTTCTTCACCCAAAACTCTATCTCTGGGATTTGATTTGGCATTGGTGCACAGTAGTGGGGTGCTGCTGTAACACATTTTTCTTTTTTTAAAAAAAGGAGGGAGTGTTTTATTTATTTACTTATATAAATTTATTTATTTTTGGCTGCACTGGGTCTTTGTTACTTCATGTGGGCTTTCTCTAGTTGCGGCGAGCAGGAGCTACTCTTCATTGCGGTGCGCGGGCTTCTCATTGCAGTGTCTTCTCTTGTTGTGGAGCACAGGCTCTAGGTGCGTGGGCTTCACTAGTTGTGGCACGCAGGCTCAGTAGTTGTGGTGCACAAGCTTAGTTGCTCCGCAGCATGTGGGATCTTCCCAGACCAGGGCTCGAACATGTGTCCCTGTATTGGCAGGCGGATTCTTAACCACTGCACCACCAGGGAAGTCCTATAACAAATACTTTAAAATATGGAAATGGCTTTGGAATTGGGAAAGAGATCGAGACTTGAAGAATTTTGAGGCACATGACAGAAAAAGCCTAGGTTGTCTTGAAGACATTGTTGGTAGAAATATGGGTTAAAGGTGATTCTGGCAAAGGCTCAGAAAAAAAGAAGAGTTATCAAGAAAGCTTCTATCACCATAGAACATATACATATTGTCATGAACAGAATGTTGTTAGAAATATGGCTCTTAAGGGCTTCCTGGTGGTGCAGTGGTTGAGAGTCCGCCTGCCAATGCAGGGGACACGGGTTCGTGCCCCAGTTCGGGAGTATCCCACATGCCGCGGAGCGGCTGGGCCCGTGAGCCATGGCCGCTGGGCCTGCACGTCCGGAGCCTGTGCTCCGCAGCAGGAGAGGCCACAACAGTGAGAGACCTGCGTACCCACCCACCCCCAAAAAAAGAAAGAAAGAAATATGGCTCTTAAAGGTGCTTCTTGTAATTATGGTCTCAGATGGAAATGAGGAACCTCATTCATGAGGTTGCCTAAAGGTCACACCCCCTAATACCATCACATTGGGCATTAGGTGTTCAACACGTGAATTTGGGGAGGACACAAACATTCAGACCGTAGCAACCCCAAACTTCAGAATGTGACCTTATTTGGAAATGGGGTCTTTGCAGAAATAATTAGCTAAGAGGAGATCATACTGAATTAAGGTGGGCCTGAAATCTAATGATTTGGTGTCATTGCTAAGGCAGTCTTAAGAAACAAATCCAGAACCCTAGAAGAATTAAATAATTCAACATATATTAATACGTCCTGTGTGCAATCCATGTAAAGCTTTGGCATAGGACCTAGTGTATGGAAGTGCTTGATAAGGGCTGCTTGTGTGTTGTTGTTAGGAGTTTCAAGAATCTTCCATAGAACTGAGAGGTAGAGCTATTCCCACCTCCCCACTTCTCCAATAGGAGTAAGTCCAATTTTATTTTATACGTGTTAAGAGTTCCTAGAGCTTTAAAAGTTTCTAAATAAATGACACTCCCAGTGGACAAAGGTGTTTTAAAGAAGATATCAAGTGTTTTAAACAAAGCTCTGTGATTGTTATGTGATACTGGGGACTAGAGCAGGGGGTTTGCCCAAAAGGTCACCTAACTTAGACCAGGGATCCTCAAGCCTGGCACTGTTGTATTTTGGGCTAGGGGATTGCCATTGGGGGCTGTCCTGTATGCCGCAGGCTTCCCTGGCCACTAGATGCCAGTAGCAACCCCCGAGTTGTAACAACCAAAAATGTCTCCAGACGACCTGTAGGGCTGAAAAAAATCGCAAAATCGCCCCAGCTGAGAACCACTGCCTTATATGTAAATCTTTAAGGAGTGAGTGAACGTTCTGCTAGGATGGGGCTGCATTTCCTACAGAGGGAATTAGCAGGACTAAAGCTTGGATATGTGAAAAGTCACACACATGCCTTTCCAGTAAAAAAAATTAAGACTGGGTTATAAGGTACAAACCACTGGTTGTTGGCAGTACAATCACTCCTAGAATTACACTGATAACATGGCTTATTTTAGTTCCTGAACTGAACTTATCTACTTGATAGAATCAAAGTATCTTAGAGTATATAGAGTATTTAAAGGTCATCTAGTCTAAACACCCACCTGATGCAGAA